TGTTGTAGAACTATTTTGGTTCTTCTTACCATTGCTAACTCTGAGAGACGAGACAGTCCAAGTAACTTCAAAACAGTGCTGATTTATTCAAAGGATCACAGGTAAAATTAACATTACACGCTCAAGTATCTTGCACCTCCATACTGCTCGCAGGCAGATGTAAGATGAAAGACCCTGAGCCCACCAGGCCTATACATTATATCACCTCGGTTGGGCTAGCCCATACTACACAGAAACGTCAACTGAGACGTCTCTGTTGCCAGCTTTGCAGCTGGCCATAGCAGTAGTCAAAACATGAAGCAAATCAACTTGTGAATGTCTGTGTCTGTTGGTTAAGCGGTGTGTAACTAAAAACATTCTCACGACCTCTAGTACATGTCGTGACTTAAACATAAGAACATATTATGGCTAAGGCTACAGTTATACACGTCGTAATAATAATATTAAACACCCTGTCTGCTGACAGTCATCAACTCTTCTCTCTAGTATCCTTGACCAGATGTACCCTGTAGAAACAGTCTAACTATACATCCTATCTCCACTAAACATTTCTAATACATAAAGTATCTATCCAATATCTATCTGACTAAAAATACCTAACACACCTCTCATCCAAGAGGCTTCAACAGTTCTGACTGACTGGTGTTGAGCTGGAGATATTTATCCCCCTCAGTGGTGTTTCAGTTCTTTGAAGGCCATGGACAGGACACGTGGGTTAAAATCAGGACCCAGGAGGTGGAGGCCTTCACCAAACATATCAACTCTGTGGATGACAACATCAAATTCACTCGATCAATTCACACAACTGTATCACTGTAGACAATAGGTTTATTTGTGAGAATTCATTGTGGAGTTAACGTGCCTTGTGTAGCAGTGTAAACGGGCTGGGGGGGACACAGGTTTTAGTGGGACAATTGTAGTAATTTAGGGTGGCTGCTGTCGTTTTGAGATAAAATAATGGAACTAACCCCCAGTAATTGCCCGCAGAAGAACTTAATCTTCTGTAGAAGCTTGGCAGTTATTTGACTCCAATTAGGCCAGAGAGCCTCTCATTCACGACAAAAGTCACGTGTGGCATATTAATTTTACGTGATGGCTGACTGTGATATTATTCAGGTTTGGAGCGAGTGTAAAACGGGCACTAGGTACAATCTTGTACCAATTGTTGAAAAAATGGCTTGGCACACAGAGTCCAAGCCGGCGTGATACCGAACAGACTAATTTTGTGCGCTGGACTAATGAAATGTGTGACCGTGGCTTCTTTGGCGCCTATGACGAGGCTCCCACAGCAGTGGGAGCTGTAAGACTGTTTATTAAACAAGCCAGTTTGAAGGCTAATAAAGCACGCCTTTCTCACAACGGAGCTAGTTTCTTACAAAAGCACAAGACAGAGGCCAAACTTAAACGGTGTGAAACATTCTTACAAAACTGTCTGTTTTTTGGGCGAATTTGAGAAGATCCAAAAAGCCACAGCCAGTGTTGGGGCCGTCAGTTGCCCTGTTCCGCCTTCCAGTGATACACAACCACATACACCCTCTGCTCCGCCTTTGGCTGCAGAGGAAGTCGGGAAG